TTCTCCTCCATGAGTTAAACTCGAAAACCCAACCTTTAGTGTGCAAGATACTGAATTGGATGGTTGTTAACGAATTGGCGTGACATAAGATTTAAAAGTTGGATTAATTACATAATGTTGTTTTGTGTGATTTTGGTATCCTGAACTCGAATTTTCGGATCCCGGATGCTAGGCACCTCGCGCCGAGGTCAATGGCGTCAAGGATTAGGGTACTAGAGTTCTGGTTCCATCTCGATCGACAGGGTCTCCAGACACAGGTCTCAGGTTCGGGGTTAGTGGGTCGGAGTAGTTGGATTAAGTTATCCCAAGATTATGAGTAGCATTTTCAGTGTGGCCTAAATTTACACGTCCTTCACATTAGTTGAAAGAGAAAACATGGACTTTTTCACCTTCATTTTGCCAAGGCAGAAGTACAAATATTGTGACAGAAATGCGGACTGTGGCCATGATAAGTTAAAAAAAAAGGGTAGTTTGCTTAAATTAATCTGATAACCAGACCACAAAAATTAATGACCAAAATGTACATTTTAGATGCATTGTAATTTTTGAAATTTATAAGGATAAATTCGTTGAAATTACATTTTTATTATTATTATTATTATTATTTGTTTTTGGAATAACTGAACAAATAATTAAGCAAATACAAGAAAGGGCATGTAGTTAAGTGAAAAACTCTAGAAATAAAACATTTACCCATTTTTTTAAAGCAAGTGCAACGCCAATTCTAGACGCGCAAATTAGGGATCATGTTCTCTTACTAGAGAATGTTATTAAACTGTTAATTACAACCAAACATTTACATAGTAGAGATGCACGCGACCAATTTTCATAAATCTATATTAGATCCAAAGGTCGAGATGCTATGCTCACGTTAAGTCCACCAAGCATCCTAAACCCTACACATCTAATAAATATCTATTTAGTTGCTCAAGGCAAATAACCAAGCAACTCACATTTTTCTAGCATTGAAATTGATCATATGTGCTTAAAAGGCCGAATACAGAGACCTTTTAAAATTACCGAGGGAGGAAAGAAATGGAATAGGCAATTACCATAATGAAAAAATCTTAATTTTCATCTGTACCCCAAGCATCATCTTTCAACTTTTGCCTCATGACGATGCGGCTTTTTCGATCATCTTCCTGTTTCTTCAAATCCACAGACCCAAAGGCTGTGGAAGGCAGTTTCATTCCCATTCCATGCGCAATGAGCCTCTGGGCAGTTCTTACTGATGTCTGTGGCCTTTGCCGTGGCGGTTCCAAATCTAACAATGAATAATACAATGAAAGTATGAGTATATCATCTGGCAGCCATTACAGACAAATTTTCATTCGTATCATTTAGATCTTCACAATCAAAACTAAGCATAGAGGAGTACAAAGTACCTCAAACTGCTGAGGAAGGATATGATGAATTCAGGAGAAGATGCTACCTAGTACTGTGGGAGGTCACTCAATTTAAACTTGGATCCCTAATTAGTAGCAAATTCAAAATAGAAGGATATATCTACCTGCCTCGTTAATAAAAAAAACCTCTGTTTTTATCATCATTGCTATTCTTCCTCCTTCCTCCTTTCTCTCTTATTGTAGTTGCACCATTTCTATGTAATAATGGGTACCAGAGCAATGGACATTTGAATTAATTTCTTGCACACTTCATTTACGTCTATATTTTTTTTCTATTCTTTCTTTTCTAGAGGCAGTGGAAATATGCTCTTTGGTCCCAGTTATTCATGGATCCTCCACATTAGAACGCTAACCTAGACAGACCCCCTTTGATAGTTAGAGTATTAGTAGAGCTCTAATGGGCAGTAACTAGAGGCTAGGGATGGAGATTATACTAAGATATTTTAATATTTCATTTTATTTTTGGAATTATATCATATCTAGACCTTGCTTAATTTAATAGGGATTTTCTACTACTTGTAGGGTATATTTTCCTATACTTAATTGGTGTCTCTATTTCCTCATTAGATTTGAGCTGGCTATTATACAAATAAAACTTATTGAACCTAATGGATCAGACTTGAACAGTGAGTTGATATTACAAAGTGAAACCCTATCTTCCTCCCTATTGTTCTCTCTCCTAGTATCCTTCTCCAGCTCTTTTTCTCTTTCGAATTCTTCTATTTTCCTCAGTCCGTACAGCCCTAGAGCACTTCCACAACCTTTGTAGCCTTTGAGTCTGTTTATGTACTGATGATCTCATTCATGCTCTAATTTTTAAAATTTCTTAGTTCACACAAGAAAGATTAGATGAAACTGGGTCTAAACTGCTGAAGGAGATTGTTTCTTAAACGGCAGACATTTCATTAGCAACCTCCTCTCTTATAGCTACTTGTGAGCACCCACTGTTCAATTCTTGATTATCTACATGACTACAATACGTAGATGAAGTAAGGTACCCAAAACTACTGCTCCCCATATTCTCAAGCCTTGCAAAATTTCACAAAGCCATACTCCTCAGTCACAGCAAAAATATGTAACAATTTGGGTCAACCATCTTGTACCACTCATGTGACCTAAAATGCACACAGGTCATATCAAGCAACCAAAGTGGAGGAAAAACTTATTTGCTTATTTTACCTTTGGGTGAAATTGATATTATAGGGTAAAATACTTCGGCTAATTGTACAAAATTTGAACACTAGTTCCTAGAGATGGAGGAAGAACATATTTGAATCTCTCCTATTTAATTTCTGTATGACTAGGCAAACAGCATTTCCAAATGTGGAGAACCAACGCTATTGGGCTCTGCGGCTGTATGTTGCATGAGAATATTGAAGAGTACAAGGTTAAAAATACATGTTCCTTATTTTACCTTTGGGTGAAATTGAGCTCAAAAGGGTATCATTCTCGTCAAGCACTCGCACTTTCATTGCACATCGAATGCAGTTACGAGCTTCAAGTGCTGCATCAAATATTAGAGATCGTCAATTGATTAAAATGATTCTGAAGCGGAAACTCAAATCAACACAATGAATCACAATTATGATTAAATAAGATCAGAAACTAAGGCTTGAAAGGCAGCTCTACGGCTAAACAAAAAAAGCAACTCCCAGTCTACAGCAACCTACTAGGAACAAAATGACAAACATCTATTGCTCCATAATCTTCGTCCATGAAGCCATCATCTCATTCTCAAAAAAAGGTAAGAACAACAAAGCCAAAACAATGACAAACAGAAGAGTAATTAACTACCGTGTTTTTTTCTTTCTAATTTTCTAACTTTATTTTAAACTTTTTAGTTTATTGTGTCCCATATTATGATAGTTTCACCATTTTGGCCTTCTCCCTTTATATAGATATAGAAAGACTGGTAATTATCTATATACTTACTTTTAGTTATAATAATTATCTATATACTTGCATCTCGGCTTGCGAGACATACAATACCTCCCCTCAATGCCCCGCTTTGAAAAATGATTCTAACAGTTTAGTAATTGCATTTTACAACTCTATATCATCCTGTAGCTCAAATTTCCAACAGTAAGGAACGTCTTGAGCATTTTTTTGAAGGATTCTAGACATGTTGCCATGGTATATTTTACCATGTGCATGACTGACTGCAAGTGGTGTCAACAAATTCATTATTATTATTATTATTATTTATTCAAAGAAAATAAAAATATGATAAATTATATAAATATAATAAAAATTAATTTTTTATTTTTTTTTGAAAAGGAAACAAATTTTATTACAATAAACAATAAAATACAGAGATGGCCAAGATGGAATCAAACCACACACACAGCCATGCCACTCAAATGGTAAACACTCTGCCTAAATCTAGGGGTTATAGGTTCGTACTTAGTCAAAAACAACAAAAGTGATCGGTTGTCCATTAAGTAGAATCTACAACTGTTTTTGGGCAGCCATGATATATCATCCTAATAGGGCATGAGCAGCATAAATGAATAACAACACTAGCATGTCAAATGGCATGTAATTTGGAAAAAGTTATCTAAATTTAATTAATCTCATAAATTCCAAAATGATTAGGTTGAAAAACTGAGTAAATATGTTACCAATTGATGGTGTTTGGAAAACTGCTAGAGCAACCGTATCATTGACCCAGCGAATAACAACTCCACGATCTCCGAAGTCCTGAAAAAGCTTCTCCAACTCTATTGTCGTGGTACTTGGTGGAAAGTCAGCCAGAACAAGAACATGTTGTGTGCCAAATTTTGCTGAATTCACAACAACAAATCCTTAGATCCTGTATACTGCCTGAGATAAAATCCAAACCTAAAGACTGGAAACATCTAGATGCTATTTGACAATGCTTAAAAACAAAAAATAGCAAGATCTTCTAACAAACTAATTTAATTGAGAAGTTCTTTCATGTTCAGCCAATGTGCAGACTTTTGTACGGAATCAACATTTTCTTTTCTGGGTCAAAAGCATTAACAGTTTGAAAGCCAAGAAACATCTAAGTATGTTTTACTATATAGAGAATCTATATATGACTATACAAACCAAGCATATTGACAGCATCGAACTTCAAACATCAAAAAGATAAAACTTACAATTTCTTATTTTTGGATCTCCCTCTAAATTATGGCACCCATCTTCATCCTCTCGCATATCAATAATTAACTTATCAGGTATCTGATCACTGTAAAGTTCATCTTTCTTATATGAAAATGTTCCTCTTCCACGTCGCTTAGGGGTTTGAACTTTGGTATCTTCCAAAGAAAGTTTTGATACTTCAGGCAAGACTTGTGAGGAGAGTAATTCATCAGGTTCGCGGTCTGCAATAGCTTCCCAATCTGTAGTTACAACAAGTAGGTCATAATTATGCTATAATAACTCGGAAATAGGAGGAAGCAATATGCACTACAATCATAAGCAATGCTAGCTACTGATATAAAACTGGCCTTCTTCTATTGACATGTCCGCCTGCAGCGGCAGCTGTGTCTCGCCATCTCTTGTCAGATCAGTTGCTTCCCTTGAGAAATCACTCATGTCTCCTGCCATGAGAATGAATAAATAATATTACTAAATCATCTAAATGCAAATTTCACCATCTCCATTTATTCCCAACAGTTCTACTCATGTGCAGATGTCGTTCTGGTAGTGATAAATTTTATAAACATGAGACAGAGGCTTAGTTTCATTCAGTAATAGTAGACCAAGTAATGCACATAACACAGAGTTCAGGATACAATAATTGAAAGCCCAAATGTAGCAATAAGGTTCATATCACTGATCTGGTAGAGTAATTGCATAAATGAAAAAGAAAAAAAAAATCAGAGAACGTTGATTGGATGAAATCTTCCCTTCAATATTTGGTGCATGATAAGTAAGCATGAGTCTGTATATAATGTAATACAAAACCTTCAAATATCCTATGCATAAATCTCCTGAAAAGAATTGAATCCATGTTTCACTACTGATGCATAATACATTGGAGATAACAGTTCTTATTCTATGCGTAAAACAGATGACAAGCAGGAACCTACACACATATATTGTTTTGTGTGCAAAAGCTTAATCATTAACAGAAAATTTTCTTTGATTCCGCGTGATTCTTGATCAAAGCAATTGCATTCTTTACAATTTTTTTAGAAAAACAGCATTCTTTACAATCACGAGCACAAAATGAAGAAATTTGAAGCGATTAATAAAACCCAAACAAATCGAGATTTATTCACCAGTTGACATTTAGATAAAAGCTCTGTTATGGGTTACAACCAGTGTTTTCAAAGGATGCCTTCGCGCGCGTCGGCGAGCGCGTCGAAGCGAGGCGGCAGGAAATCGCCCGAGGCGGTCGGCTGTTTCTCGAGTTGCACGTTTAGCGCGGGAAAGGCGTGAGGAGGCGTTGCAAGGCGTGGCCAGGCGGAGCAAGATCTGGACACTTCTGAACCGGAAGAAATTTTGCGAGTCTGCAAATTGGCTGCGACTCTGCGAGCAAGACGACTTCGCGAGGAAGACGACTCGCGTGTTTTTTTCTATAGGTTTATTGTTATGAAACGACGTCGTTTCGATTGCAGTGTTTTAAAAAAATTTAAATGAAACGACGTCGTTTCACTTGGAGTGTTTTGAAATTAAAAAAACGCAAGTTTCTGTTTTTTTTTTCTAACCTTTATTGTAATAAACTCCACCTGGTTGGAGCTACGGCTGTATTAATATATTAATACATGGACTTATATATATATATATATATATATTGTATAGTACAACCTAATTTCTACCCTTATCAAATAATCTCCAACAATTTCAAGAATTCTCTTCATCTTTCAACTGTAAGCAAGCCATTTTATTTTTGTCTCTAATTCTTTGCAACTATAATTTGAAGTTCCGTATAATTTTTTTTCAATTTTCTTTTTCAATATATTAGTTATCTTATTCGTTTATGTGATATAGTAGAAATTTGACATACATGCATCATACTTGTATCTTAGAAATATTAATGCTGTTGTTTTATAGCGCTTGAATCGAAAAGATCCTACGTGAAAGTATGCAAAAGAAATATAGGGGGAAAAATACTTGAGATGCACATTTTGTGATCAAAGATGCAGTGGAGGAATTTTTAGACTTAAGCATCATTTGGGTCAAACTTATCATGGTATGCAACCATGTAAGAAAGTTCCTGAGGATGTGAAAAAAGAGTGTGTCACAACTTTGAAAAATTTTCATCTTCAAAAAAGAAAGAAAAATGAAATGCTTAGAGAGATTGGGGATGGTCCATGAGGAGGGGCTCAGAGTATGGAAACTTCATTGGATGAAGAATATGGAATCCCCGGTACTATAAGTGTTGCAGTTGATGAGGCTCTTAGAGCACAACCTAAATCAAAATGATCAATGAATAGATTTGTCACTTTAGAAGCTCGGTAAAGTATATTAAATTCAGCATACAAACAAGAAGAAAGAAAGAAAGTTTGTCGAAAGATTTGTCGTTTTTTCTTCTCTAGAGAACTCCCATTTAATATTGTAAATGATACATTTTGGCTACCTATGGTGGAAGGGATTTCCGTATATGGTGTAGGATTTAAGCCTCCATTAATGCATGAGCTGAGGACTTGGATCCTTAAGGAATAAGTTGGATGCATTACATAGGGAAATATTGTTAGACAGCGACACTGAAGCAACACTCGCCTATATGAAAGCGAAAGCGTCGGTGGATCTTGAATTTTTTTGTAAGTTCAGTGTAGATGAAGAGAATAGGCTTGCTAACTTATTTTGAGAGACTCTATTTCACTTTTGGATTATGTTGCTTCTGGAGACGTCTTTATATTCGACAGCACATACAAAACCAATATATATGACAAGCCTCTAGTGTTATTTGTTGGTTTAAACAACCACCGGGCGAGTGTTGGTTGTACCCTATTACTTGATGAGACCTTTGTAACATAAAAGTAGTTATTGGAGACATTCATATCCTCCATGAAAGGCAAGAAGCCTATATCAATACTGATGGATGGGGATGAGGCAATATGCATAAAGCAATTGAGTATGTATTGCCCATGTGCAATCATAGGTTGTGCTCATGGCACAAGACAAGGAATGCATAGAATAACTTAAAGGATGAAAAATTGGAAAGATCATTTCAAGCATATCTTTGAGAACCAATTACAATTAATGAGTTTGAAAAGAAATGAGAGTTTTTGAATGATAGAGTTACTACACATAAACAAAATGAATGGCTGCAAATGATGTATACAAAACGAGATGCGTGGGCGAAATCACGCATTCGACCCAAGTTTTTCGTTGGTATGTGCACTACTCAATGTGTGGAGTATATGAACAAGTTTGTGAAAGATTACTTGAGGAAAGATGTTAAGTTGTTTGAATGTATTCCAGCAATTGATAGGGCCATAGCACGAATGAGGAATACCTCGGGGAAGGATGATTTTGACCAAAACAATCAAAGAAAGTGCTTATAACAACACTAAAAAGTCTTCAGCAATATGCTTCCCAAATTTACACTCATAGGTGCTTTTTATTGGTAAGTAATGAGATCAATGTTTCGTCAGCACTCATTCATGAAAAAATAATTTATAATTTTGGAGGACGGTTGTATATTTTAGCGAAATACGATGAACTGCAAAATAATTGAAGTTGTGTATACCTTGGTGTGAAAGATGTTCAAATAGAGTGCAACTATCAGAAATATGAAAGCGAAGACATCCCATGTTGCCATTTGTTTTATGTGATGAAGTGGGAGCATGTTATGAAATTCGTCAATCATAATGAAATGATAGACAAAAGCTGCTCGAATGGACATTGGATATGCATTTATGTCATAAAATGGTAGTAAGGAGGTTGTACAAACCGTGAGATACAAAAGTTTAAGTTGTATTGCCAACAAAGTGTGTTTGTATGCATCAAAGAGCACAGATGTGTATAGTATTATTCATAAATTTTTCTTATCAAAATAAATTAATGTTCAAAAGGCTTACGCCTCAGTGCTTCAAGACTTACGCCTCTCATAACGCGACTAAAACGCCTTGCATCAACGCCTCACCTTTCAAAACATTGGTTACAACCACCAGCACAAAATAGTTCTCTATACTACGGATTTAAAGGAAAAATTAAAGCAGCAATTAAGAAACGTAATCAAACAAATCAAAATTAATAACCATATCAGAAATAAAACCCAACACAAGAAAAATTGAACAAGAAAGTAACAGAAACCTAAAAGTAACTAAGAGGATTGAAGAGAAGAATTAAAAGAAAATTTTATCTTTTTGCATAGAAGGATGCTCACACAGACGAAAAAACACAAATGCAACCTACAAGAAATAGAAAATTAACATGCAGACTGATAAAACCAAAAACAAAAACAAAAACAAAAACCAATCAAAATTTCATGAATCACACCCCAACAAAAGAAAAATGAAAGAAAAAAAAAACCGACAATTTTTTAACCTGAGGGCGACTAGAAAGATCAACTCAAAAATGGGACTAAAATCAAATGAATGTAGTCAGAAATTCAAAGAGAAACTAAAAATTTGAGAAAATAGAAAACAATATTACCTGTGCAGATGGTTTTGCTTGAGATTGAATGACGGTGTTTAGAGTTTGAATGTATCACTGAAGAAGGGATTTGGGAGTTTTGGTATGGCCGAAGAGAGAGAGAGAGACATTGGAGAGGGAAAGGAAGATAGAAGTCGACAGTAGCGGAATGACAGAAAGAGCAGCTATAGAGAACGAGTAAGTTGCAGAGTTCTAGTGGTTTTCTGACCGTAATTATGAATTGGAAGTGCTTGTTAGAGAAGCAACTATAGATAACGCTTTAGGCATTGAAATTTTTTGGGTGTTGTTAAGTGAATCCTAAAATTAACTAAAGTTGTGTTTGGATGAGGTATTTTGAAGTGATTGGACTTCAAATTGATGGATTTTGAAATGAGGGGATTTCAAGTAATGGGATTAACAAAGTTATTTGTTTGGTTAATTATTGAGTTGGTGGGATTTCATTGGGTAATTTTTTATAAATATGCATTTTTTTTGCTATTTAGCTAAAAAATCTAAACTGTACTCACAACTAAATAAATAATAAAAATCTGAATAATTTGAAAAGATAAATAATAAATAATACATGTTGGATCTACGATGGGCCCCACAACTATTTCTTCTCTTCTTCTCTACTCTTCGGTTAGTATGGCTTTTCAAATCCTCAAATGCAATCTTCTCCCAACTACATAACTTAACCCCTCTCCGTCTCCACTTCTTCCCTTCCTCACCATCCGATCAAACTCCATTATAGACCAACTCCTAATCTTAGACGACAACGATGACATCATAATCGACATCGGCGATGATTTTGGTGCGACAAGGAAGGTGATGACGTGCTGGAGGTCGAGCATCTCGCGGAATCCATAAAAATCAAGATGATCTGGAGCCTTCAAAATCGATCTACGACCTAAAGAGAAAGGGAGAGGAAGGTCTGCTAAGTCGGAGAAGGAGAGAGAGAGAGAGAGAGAGAGAGAGAGAGAGAGAGAGAG